GACACGCTGTATGGTCTGGCCTGCTCCGCGAGCTGCTCGGCGGCCCTGGGCTGCGTCTATCGCCTCAAGGGCCGCAGCGAGGCCAAGCCGCTGGCCGTGTGCCTGGGCCGCGTGGCCGACGTCTACAGGTGAGGCCGCCCCGACCCGGCCCCACTGGAGGCGGCACCGCGGGAGGGGTTTCCGGTGACAGGCTTGGGAGACTGAGGCGCCGAGCGCGGGAGGGGCTTGTCCTGGCTCACCGAGGAATCCGGAACTGGAAATGTGTTGGGAGCGCTTAACGCGTGCCAGGCTCCGCGCGCTGATCGGGGCGCCGAACTGGGCGAGCGTGGCAACTGTTCCCTCGGTGCCCTTGTGATGTACGGAGTGGGGAGGCCCGCGGGAAGAAGGAATCGCGGTCACAGTTTAGGAGTGCGACGATAAAATAGTTGGAGGTTCTGTTTATGGTGTCACGGCGCTGTGGGTATTGTCGCCGAGACAGGCGTGTGGACTTTAAGCCCGAGATACTTCTCTGGCGTTCTGCCTTGTGCCAGAACTCTGAGGAAGTAGGGAGGCAGGCAGATCCCACAGGAGCCCTCTCCCGCATCTGCCTTCAGTCCAAAAAGGTCTATCCCGGTGATCTGGAGTGGATCTGTGCTCTTTTGCCTCCAGGTACTGCCAGGTGAGCGTACCCAAGGAGCTCCTGGAGGACCTGTTGCCAGGACCAGTGACCCTGGTGATGCAGCGCTCCGGAGAGCTCAACAAAGATCTGAACCCCTTTACTCCTGTGAGTCACAGTCGCTTTTCCTGTGATCTAATTCAGACGCCTGCCGGTCCCTGAAGCCTTCCTCATGCTCCCTTCTCTTGCTTCACAGCTGGTTGGCATCCGGATACCTAACCACGCCTTCATGCTGGACTTGGCCCAAACGTTTGGGGGACCAATTGCACTCACCAGTGCCAACCTCAGCTCCCAAGCCAGTTCTCTGAGTGTTGAGGTGAGAATTGACCCCAGTAGGCTAAACTGCTGTTTCCTCAGAACCAGTAAGGCAGCACTCGGATTGCCTGGCTGAAGTTTGGGCCTTTGGCACAACAATAAAAAGGCTACCCATGTGGTATGGTTTAGGGAGGACATCCAGATGAAAAAATATTGGAAGGGGCCAGGTGCTGCATACTTGTAGTGCCAGCACTAAGAGGCCAAGGCAAGAAAATCTTCTTGTTTTGTTGTGTTTCGTGATGGGAGCTGTCCTTGAACTCGAGCTCTGCCTGCCTCTGCTGGTATTAAAGGCATGAGCCACCACTACCTGTGTAGATGAAGACTACTTTTGTTTCACGACCACCCAGACCCGGATAATCACACAGAAACTATATTAATTATAACACTGTTTTGCCAACAACTCAGGCGTATTCCTAGCTAGCTTTATCTTAAATTAACCCATTTCTGTTCTTGTATTGCCACGTGGCTGTGACGTTACCTCATTTTCTACACGTCTTGTTTCCTCCGGGACTGGTCGGCATCTCCCTGACTCTGCCTTCTTCCTCCCTGCATTCAGTTTAGTTTTTCTGCCCAGCTGTATTCTGCCCTGCCCTAGGCCAAAGCAGCTTCTTTATTAACCAATGATAATAAAACATTCACAGCATACAGAGGGGAATCCCACATCACTTCTTGGATTTTTAATGGTTTATTTTATATGCATTGGTATTTTACCTGCATATATGTCTGTGTGAGGTGTCAGATTGGAACTGGAGTTACAGACAGTTGTGAACTGCCTTGTGGGTGCTAGGAATTGAACCTTGGTTCTCTGGAAGAACAGCCAGTGCTCTTAACTGCTGAGCTATCTCTCCAGTCCCCCAAAACCTTTTTTTTTTTTTTAAGGCATTGAAACATTTATCTTGAGAGGCCAGGGAAGAACAGATGTACTCTTTGTATGTATAATAATAGAAAAGATGCTGGGAGGTGGTGATTCACACCTTTAATCCCAGCACTCGGGAGACAGAGGCAGGTGGATTTCTTTGAGTTCGAGACCAACCTGGTCTACAGAGCAAGTTCTAGAACTTCATAGAGAAACCCTGTTTCAAAAAACAAAAGTAGAAAAGGTTATAGGAAGTAAAGACATCCTTGTGAGGGGAGCAGTTGTCAGACACTCGAAAGCAATGCTGGGGGCTCGGAAACATCAGTTCTCTGTCACAGCCATTAAATGACAGTCTTTTTGCCAGTTCTTTTTTGGGGTGGGGGAGACAGTGTTTTTGAGACAGGGTCTTACTATGTAGCCCTTGAACTCCTTATATAGAACCGGCTGACTTTGAACTGCCTTTGCTTCCCAAGTGTTGGAATTAAAGGCTTAGGGCAGGGTCTTACGACTGTGGCTCATGCTGCCCTTGAACTCTCAGGATCCTAAGGCTTCATTTTGGAATCTATGCCAGCACACCTGGGCTCACCTAATACCTACTGTTCTATCTCTACTTGCCAGATAGGCCTGAGATAAAATCATCTTAACCCTGTCTTGGCTATATGGTTTAGAACAAATGAGCATAAACTTTGCTCTGTTTTTACAACATCTAAGTAAGGTGCAATTAAGTGATGGGGGCCTTGGAAATGGCAGTTCTACTTTGTTTGCTCTTGGGATCTGTACAATTAGGGAGCCAGTGGGAATGCTACCAGAGGAGAGGGTGGTTCTTACCTTGTCACCAACCCTGAACTAGCACAGTCATTGTTTATTTATAACTGGTATTTATGATCGCCCTATCACCAAGACCCAGGCCTAACTGCAGTAGAGACTCTTCACTGGGGGCAGAAAGACTCTCCTTTAATAGCACAGCCCAAGGACTGAGTGCTGGTGACGTGGGTTTGCAGAGTCCACCCTGTTTTCTTCTTCATGCTCTGAGCTTGATTGACTTCCATTGAGGTCCAGGATCTGGCTGCTAGATCTGGAAAGACCCTTGCTAGTCACCTCGGCTGGCTCTCACTTTAGGAATCTAGATGAAATAATTTCATGTACCATACAGATGTGATGGAAAGTCCAAGTTTAAAGCCTACATCTCTGGGCTCAAACCCAGTGAACCACTTATTGGACCTACACCTCTAAAGCCTCTGTAGTACTGGGATTTCCTTTTGGTACATTAAGATTTTCTGTATGTAAGGTGTAACTTGTAAGGGGGCTGCAAACTAGATGCTCATTGTGCCCTTGGCATGGCTGAGCATAATTAAGAGATTTCTCCTCTGCTTAGAGGAAGATGCCTGAATTTAAATGTGAGCCATGTGTGCAGGATGACAATATGGGCATCTCCTTCTTTTCAGGAGTTCCAAGACCTCTGGCCTCACTTGTCCCTGGTCATTGATGGGGGACCAATTGGAGATAGTCAGAGCCCTGAGTGCCGCCTTGGCTCTACTGTGGTTGACTTATCTGTGCCTGGAAAGTTTACCATTATTCGCCCGGGTTGGTAAGGCTCTTTCCTGTGCCACTGGGGTCTGTGAAGGAAGTTGGAGAAAGAGGAGCTTTAATGTACCGAGTTGATTCCCAGCTTGCATTGTTTGGGGGCGGGGAGGCGGTGAGTGGGCTGGGACTAAATTTGCTGGTATGGCGGGCTTTTTAGGGTTCATCAAGTTTGATGAACAGGGCACAGGACAGTAATCTTTATTGATTACTCTTCAGACTGGTGGGCTCAGTGCCGTGAGAAGTCAGACTGTAACTGCCTTCTGTGTCTTCCTCAGTGCTCTGGAAAACACTACAACCATCCTCCAACAGAAATATGGGCTGCTCCCTTCACAGGGGTCCTGCTCATGAAGATTGGGAGGATTGGAGGACTATGCTGGATACTGTGTGTCTGCTAACTGGTTAGCAAGGCCTCATTGGCAGAGGCTCCTGGAGCTACGCATGTAGCCTGGCTTTTTAGGGAACATCTCTCTCTGAATACTGTAGTCCAGAAGCTGCAGGTTGAGCCTTGTAGGTTCTTATATCAATCAAAAATTGAACAAAGGTAAGAACATTCTTAGAAGCCTGGCGGTGGTAGCACACACCTTTAATCCCAGCACTCGGGAGGCAGAGGCAGGTGGTTCTCTGTGAGTTCGAGGCCAGCCTGGTCTACAAGAGCTAGTTCCAGGACAGGTTCCAAAGCTACAGAGAAACCCTGTCTCAGAGAAAAAAACAAAACAAAACATTCTTAGATCGGCCTTACTATTTTAAGGCCTTTAAAGTCAAAAGTAAATTGAGTACAGAATTAGAATGTATTAAGAGCTTGTTTCTGGTGACAGTGGCACTTCATATCAACTCAGCTAGAAGCACTAGTGTGTTCTAGAAGTCTCAGGACCAATGCAGGAAAGCCCAAGACAGCTTTCCTGAGTGTCAGAGAGGTCATTTTAGGGAAACTATCTTGGGGGTTCCAAGTGAAATAATACTGGAAAATAAAATCTTGACTGTTCAGCCAGTGACTTCCTTATTTATTGATAAAATAAATTATATAGTTCTGTGTGTAATTTATTTAACTTCATTGTTTACTCAGAAGTTTTATCTTTGTTCATATATGTGCCAAGTATTCTGCATACATAATTATTTTTGAGTATTTAAGCTGTATTTTTCTTTACTATTAAAAATGCTGCTACAAACAGTTGTAAATGGTTTATTTTTCTTTTGAGCTATTTCCTTTGGGGTAGGATTTCTAGGTCAAGGTGTATATGTGCATTATGGCTGTTGATGTAGATTAGCCTTCAGAAGATCTATGTCAACTTTCATTGAAGATGCCTGCCCCTTCCTGCTGGTCTTGCTGTGTCCAAGCTGTGTATGTATGAAATGAAATTAGCACTGGTAAAATCCAGCCCTCTCAACTAAGCTACAGACGGGGTGACCAGCCCTGTTCATTTGTCAGTAAATGGACTGATTGTCCTTGAAATGACCTGTATTCCACCTCATCTCCCCTGCTGCTTCCTCTTCCCAGAGTCATGGCTCAGCCTTAGACTGTAAACCAGTACAGTGGTTTCCAGTGAACACCTCAAGTGTATTTGAGAACCTTGCTGAAAAATATTCCATTGGACGTACTTTAACAAGGATCCTTGCAATTAACATTAGTTTGTTTATAAATAAGTACTGGCTTGCTAACTTCCTTCTAGAAAACATATGAACTAGTCATTTAAGCAAGCCCATCTCCATTGTGCTAAAACTAGCAAGCCCAGCCATACACTAATTTGTCACAGTCTAACCTAGAGGCCAGCAAGAGGAACGTGTACTGGCAAACACTACTTCATGTTTAATACAAATCATAGTAGCACTGAGAGTGGCCTTAGTGCGTGGCCTCCCCAGCCTAGATAGCCGGAGGGAGGGAGTGACCTAGTCCTCTCCAGCTTTATGTTCATCAGGAAAGGCTCTGAAGCAGAGCTATTTTCTTGGAGGAAAATAGCTGAATTTCCAGGCCTGGGTGTAGCTGCAAAGAAGAGCAAAACAGCCAAGGTGCTAGCTGCATGGCTACACCAAAAGCGAGCTCCTGTAAGCTCCAGAAGGGAACATTGACCAAATTTCCCAGCACCTGACCATAAGATGCTTAGTAATGAGTGGGTGCTCAGTGTTTCCTGGTAAAAGGGCGCAGAAATGGGCTGGAAAGACAAAGTCCCCTTTTAGAAGTGTCAAATACCATTCCCTGTATTCAGCAGAAAAAGGAAGGTGCCTGAGGAGATGTGGGCTGTCCAAAGGAAGCAGGTGCATACTAGCTCAGAACCCTGAGACCCTTTTAAGCACAGTGGCTGGGAACTACACTGTACAACCTGCCACAGCTGAAAGCTAAAGGACGTGGAGCTGCCCTGAGCCATGTGCGGCCTCCTGCCAGCCTCCTGCTTCCCTTCACCCCAGCACCATAGCTGGCCCACCCACAAGCACCCACTTGCTACTTGGGACTAGTGTGTGCCTATTCCTCATCTGAACCAACTTGGTGACCTAATGAGGTCTGAGTGGTAGCCCCTCACATCAGCCACTGCTCCTTTTCCTTGATGAAGTGCTCTGCCCAGCGGCGGGTCAGCTCCAGGTACAGGCTGGGCTGGTGCGGCAGGTAGTCCAAATACAGACGAGTTGGCGTCTTCTTGGGAACAGCCTTCTCGATCTGTGTGCCCTCGTGCCACTCATTGAAAGAGGTGATGGAGACAATCTCGGGCCTCACAGTCAGGGCCGCCTGCAGGGCTGTCTCGTAGTACTTGCCATTGACCCTATTGCGAGTGTTGTGGTTGTTCCAGGGCCGGATGCTGGTGTCGATATACCCAGGCCCCACACTAGGGATGAACATCAGGTTGTTGGTATCACAGAAGTTCTTTACAGCCTTCCAGTTCTGATGGGAGGAACCGAAGGAGAAGCCGTTGGAGGCAAAGTAGGTGTACATTCCATCAAATCCTGCAGCAAGGATGTCATGGGTGTGGCCCTCCTCCACCAGCAGCGCTATAAAGACCCCGTCATAGGGGGTGTTGCGGATTGAGTGGGGCCCGTTTTGTGTCAGGAGGTGGGCCCAGGCCTCAGGGGATGTCAGGTAGGAGTCGTAGATATAAAAGAGTGGGAGGCTCTTGCCCATGCTGGTCTTATAACGGTAAAATGCACCATGGGAGCCATACCTGAGGAGCAGGAGGGAGAGGCTTGAGTTGGTGGTGAGAAGCCAGCACAGCTGAGAGATCAGCCACAGGGGCGATCTCTTCTGTGCTCACAGCAGTCTAGGATTCAGGTTACATGGTCAGCATATGCCTCCAAGTATTAACCCGCTTCTTTTCCTGCCCTCCCTGCCTGTCATCCCTCAGCCTCTTCTCCCAAGCCAGGCCTCCGCATCTTTGTCTGGGTTGTGACAGCAATGGTGTTTAGACTTCCATTCCTGCCCCCCTATAGGATCTGATCTGATTGCTCCTTCCTGTACCTGTAAGGACACCCCTGTGTGATCTGAACTTGCCTGGTTTCAGACTTCACTCCCTAACTGGCCTTTCTATCATCAATCTTTATGTGACTTTGTCCCATAAAGAACATTCCATCTGTGTTGTAGGAGGCCACTTGTTCGTCCTAGCTGCCTAGACTCGAAATAACCACACAGAAACTGTATTAATTAAATCACTGTTTGGCCCATTAACTCTAGCTTTTTATTGACTAACTTACATCTTAATTTAACCCATTTCTAGTAATCTGTGTATTGACATATGGCTGTGGCTTACCGGGTAAAGTTCCCTCTGGCGTCTATCTCTCCAGCGGGGCTACATGGCTTCTCCCTGACTCTGACTTCTTTCTCCCAGCATTCAGTTTAGTTTTCCCCACCTACCTAAGTTCTGCCTTGTGCAGGCCTAAGACAGTTTCTTTATTAACGAATGGTATTCATAGCATGCAGAGGGGAATCCCACATCACATCTGCTGACTCTCACTCTGTCTTAAATCTTCCCCTTTCTCCAGATCTTTGCAGAGCTACTTACTATTATTCTTCTATTATTTGAGACAGGGTCTCACTATATGGCCTGAAGCTCAGTAAGTAGACCAGGTTAGCCTTGAATTAAAGGTGTGCACCAGCGTGCCCAGCCAGAGCTGACTTACTTTAAAAAACATTGTGTAGGCAGGGATTAGTGATGGGTCTGGGAAGAGTTAGGAAGAGGAGTAGGAACAGTGAATATAATTTTTTTAAATATACTTTTTTAAAAGAACGATTTGCTGGAGAGATGGCTCAGACGTTAAAAGCAATTACTGTTCTTCCAGAGGCCCTGAGTTCTGTTCCTAGCACCTACATTAGGCAACTACCTGTAACATTAGGTAACATACCTGTAACTCCAGCTTCCTCTCCTGGCCTCTGGGCACACACAGACACACATAAATATAAATAAACAAAATAAGCAAAATCTTAAAAAAAAAACAAACTTGTCTTGAACCTGGGGCCTCAGGCATAATGGTACACATGTGTAGTCCCAGCACTTGAGAGGCTAAGGTCAACAGACTAGGTTCATGCTCAGTTACTTAAAGAGCTCAAGGAGCCTAAACTATATGAGACCCTGTTTTAAAAACAACAGAATTCTAAGCTCACTCATTCCTTTTAGCTTAACAACCGTATTTATGGCTCAGTTCTGGAGGCTACAGAGTCCACGCTCAAAGTGCCTATCAAGTTTGGTTCTCGGTGAGAGCTCTCTCGGCTCACAGACTTGCTGTGCTCACAGGGAAAGCAAGAGTCAGTCTCTTCGGTGTCAGCACCTAGGACAAGTCCTCTCAGAGAAGCACATATCACCACCCATTCTAGAGTAATTCCTTGAGGGCTGGGACGTAACATATGCTCATGCTTAGCATGCAAAGGAACCTGGGTTTGATCTCCAGAACCATAAAAGGAGGGGGGGGGGAGACAAAACAAACAAACAAACAAAAACCAACTTCTTGGTCATATTCTTAACACAAAACTCTGCTTAGCTTTTTATTGTTTTTTTCATACTACAGATTGCTGTGGTTTCCCACTTCTTGGTTGGGGAGCTCTGCTGCACCCCCAACAGCTAGACTATAAGTGTCAAGTCAGAAACTTTGCTAAAGATAATAGCTGTACGTGTGGGCACTAAACAGCTTTTCAGTGAATACATACAAGCATGTATGAAGCACTGAATTAGGGCTCCAGAGCTAAACCTGAAACTCAGTTGCCTGACTCCAAGCCCAGTATCCTGCATAACTGCTGGGAACACATGTATTCCACCCTTGCATTGCCTGACCTCCAGCCCTTCTAGCCCTGCTTCCGTCTCGATTCCCATCTTACGTGTCAATGATGTACTTGATGTTGTCATGAACAGTGACGTCGTCCCGGCCCTTGTAGGGTTGGATATGGAAGGCCACCTGCCACAAATGGAGTTGCAGATCAGGTGAATAGTCAGGAGCAGGACACATACAGATAAATGCCGCCCCCCCCCCCCGGTCATGGATTATAGGGAGGGGCTGAATTCAGGAAAGCCTGGCAAGGATGGGCACAATGAAGGCTGCCACTGCCCGTCAGGTCCCACATCAGGACATCTAGGAATCATTCTGAGGTCACTGCAAGATGGCACTCAGGTTTCTACCTCTGTCAGCTCCAATCATGAGCACCAGGTGACATGTGCCTGCTCTCTGTCAGCAGAAAATGTGCCACAATCTGTTAAACCTTCTAGCGGTGACCTCAGGAAGGCAAGGGGGCTTCTCTGACATTTTTCTTCCTTCATCGCAGATGTAGGAACTGACTTCCTTCACTGATGTGTCTGGAGAGAATGGCTACACACATCTCCTTTCACTAGAAGGGGAAGCTGCTTGTGGAGGTCCAGCACTGTCCTCCACTGTGGAGTTGAGTGGAGAATTCTGTCTGCAGATTGTTTGGCTCTGGCCTGCCAAGTATCCAGAACCAAGGGTCTCCCACTTAACCTATATGATTTAATAAAAGTGAAGGGACTGGGGTGATGGCTCTCTTCCAAAGGACCTGGGTATGCAGCACCCGTGTCAAGTTACCCACAACGAGTCCATGGATATCCAATGCCTCTGGCCTCTGCAGGCATCCACACACATCTGAACATACCCACACACAGATAAACACACACACACAATTTTAAAAATATGAAAAATTTTAAAATAATTCATATTTAAAAATATGAATAGGGGACAAATGGATATTTGCCCAAATATATCCATTTGTCCCCTATTTGCTCAAAATTAAAAATGGTAACAGCTGACATGGTGCAGCCTGCTACACCCTCTCCCAGTACCACATCATCAGCCATCCAGCACTAACTATGGCAGCATGAAGCATTCTCCATGACAGTGTGTGAAACCTTCTGAACTCACCTGGATGTTGTACTGATGGGCAATGTCCAGAATGGCAGGTACCAGATCATCTGAGGGCTCCCCATTATCATCAGCCATGCCAGGGGGATACCAGGAAAGAACCAAGACTCCTAAACAATACAAAAGCCCCTTCAATGGTACACAGTGTGCCCACCCACCCCGCCCCCAGCAGCAGAAAGCATCTCTAACTACTGCACGATTCCTGAAAACCTCGAGCTAGGATCCTGCTAGGTTCCTGGGGCAGACCTGGGGTCCAGAGCTTTGCAGGCCTCGGAGCTGTCCACGCCCGCAGTGCTGAAGTCCTGCGGCCAAGGGAGCAGGTTGAGGAGTGCATCATCAAGTAGCAGGAGGAAGGGGAAAGGATGGCAATGCCACACTCACCTGGAAACCACAACCCTACCTCTGGGATCCTACCTAAAGAAAATCCCTGTGAAGAAGTCCTATTCTCATGCTTCCCATGGGAGAGAGCATTTGCCTTGACTAGAACTTGCCCGTCTAGAAAGTAAGCCTAGACAGAATAGCCCACATTCCCACATCTTTGTGTATCCCCTTCCTATTCATTCATTCATTCATTCATTCATTCATTATTTTGAAGATACTGTCCCACTATGTAACCCTGACTGACTTCAAACTGGGAAGTCTGGCCCTCCCAAGTGCTAGGCTTATATAGCATGCACCAGCCACTAAGCCTGGATCCAAACCTTGTAGCTCTCCCTCAAACCGTCTCGAGGTCTAACAAAATGTATCATTAAAAGCTAGCAGAATTCAGTGACAAAATCTAACCAAGGTGCGTCTCCCCACCCCAACGTAATGCAGAAGGTTCTCCAGGATCTCTGGCTGGGCACTTGATGAAACTTGTGGTTGTTATGTATTGTGCCCGCCCTCAGCCCTGACAGATCAACCATCTAGCTGTTGGGCTCCCCTAAACCTGCTATGAAAGCCGACCCTCCCCAAGCTCTCCTTCCAGACTTGAGGGGCCAGGATCCCCACTTTCCTGAAACTTGGAGGTGCAACATACTTAGGACTGTTCTTACTGTCCCTACTCAGGATAGCTCTAACACAGGTGCGCACACACCAACTCTGCCCTACGGAAGGCCCCTGGGGTTGTTGAGGGTAGAAAGGCCCAGAAGGTACAGCAGGCATTAGAGGAAGGGGCGGTCGTGTGTAGTAGGCCCGGGATAATAGTGAGAGGGAAAGGCTACGAGGTCAGGTTGGCGGGAGAATGGGGCCGGGGCCCTGCGGCCGGGCAGCAAAAGCTGAGGTGCAGGAAGGAAGGGCGAGGCTGGGGGGCAGACTGGCTAGGGGGACTCACCGATGGCGGCTTCTTTGAGCTGGGTCATGTGTTCTCGTAGTACATCGGGGTCCCGTGAGCTGTAGGGACCCAACTCCGGGTAGAAGCTGGAGCCCAAGTCGTCTGGAGGGCTGTGGCGGCCACGCGGGTAGCTGGCCGAGATCTTGGGGTCCCAGTGCGGCACCATGACATGGTCCCAGTGAATGTAGTGGCCCTCGCGCCGCGGACTCCCGTACCACGAGTAATAGAAGGCGTGCAGATCGGAGTAAACGCGCAGGCTCTGCCGGGGCGCGGGATCGGCCTCGGCGGGGCCCAACGAGGC